ACCTGTAATACTTACAGGGTTTGCAGCACAATGTGTTAGCATTGTATTCACTTGTATACAAAGTATACAATCATCACATTTGTCAAACAAAGTGCTATAAGTAACCAAAAAAACTTTCGATAATTCAATTCAGTGTCACATTCAACCACTGATTATATCACCTTTGACTTTTGTTTGTGTGCTATATGGGACTACTGTTTAAGAAAAAAAGACAAACATTTAATTCATAGATGTTTTCAACTAAAGCTCCAATTAAAACTAGAAATTTGCTGCTTTTTCACAATTTGTTTGCGAGCTAATTGACAAACAAAGATGTTTAGCAGTCATGAAATTTGGCACACATTTAGCACACAATGCTTCCACATCCGGTGAAGAAATACTATACATAAAATCCAGAGAATCTACTGCACATTTTGTATATTTGCATTATTTTATATCAAAGTCTGAAGTAAGCATAGGCATCAAGCACTCTGGACACCTGGAAACACATCTGACTTCATACTTTCCCTGATTAGTAGGATCTAGGGGAACTACTGGGCTCTCTAACCAATCTTTAAAATTGTTTAACCTTTTTTTTAAAATCTACGCTTTGTTTTGTTTTGTTCATCATCAAATACATCCTGTGTGTTAGTATCCCTGACTTGTACATGCTGGTGATGCATGCCCATATATGGTGTGAACCCATTCTAAATGGTACTTTATTAGACAGTGGTGCCAGGCTTTAGAAGTTGTTACTAATGGTTTGCTTCATGGTTAAAGCAACATTTATAAAGCAGAAATAAACAATTTGTACAAAGGACTTTTGGATTATTAGGTTGTGAAATGCCCTCTTGGCTGGTTGGTCTTGTTGGGATTAGGACTTGTCTGTGCAATTGTGAAGGTTTCAAAATCTCAGTGGGTTGAAGTTGTGGTAAAGGATGGGGTAGCAAAGGGTCTTTTTTGACACAAGTGACTTCTATTGGTTTCCAATTTCATTTCCTACCAACTTTCAACTACAACAACTAAAACAAAATTCTTTTGATGGAGACTAACCTTGACATGGTACCTGTTTTTACACCCCAACCACTGTATTTCCACACTAAACAAGTAGCTTCCACACCTAAACCTAACTCTAGCCACAGAGATGGCAGATCAGGAAACGTCAGATGGATCACTTTTTGTTACAGTGATTTGTAACAGTTTCAGAAAGTAATGACAAATGCTGTCAACCTACCAGTGAGGGCTCAATATCAGAAGGTACTACTCTGGAGAAGTATATCGTATTTTGCTTTTGTTTGTTTTGTTTTATTTGGAGGACTTGTTGACTTGTCTTCCCCGAAGGAAAAGAGAAACTCATGACCCTCTAGCTAAAATTATAGCTCCACAAAGACACATTTAAACATCTCTGCAGAGCTAAGCAGAGTAGAGCTCCACCGCCTTTGAAATGAAAAGGTAAAACCCAGTACCCAAAATCCTTACGAGTGTAAGCATGAAAAGAGACCATGACCAAGCACATTTTCTTTTTTAACAGCCCAGAGAAGTATGTCCCTGTCCTCACTTTCTAAGAAGCCATCAAAGCTTAAAAAGCTG